CTCACTATACTTTTCAAAATATTTTGTGCATACATAGCATGATATTTTGGAAATATTGCTAAGGTATATGATGACTTGAAGTATCGATCATCCATCTCAAGAGTCCATAGGTAGAGAAGTTGCGTTGTCGCTTCTTGATCATCTTTGCAGGCATTTCATTGTATTATACTTTGGCCACTAGGTCAGATGGTAGAAATGCTCGATCAATTTACATTCATATATAGCTGCAGTGCACTAAAAATTAAAGCCAAGATGATTGATGAGAACTTTATCTGGTTTCCACATATGATTTATATTTCTTCTATGCTATATAGATCCAAATCGATCACGACCCTTACCTTGTTATGGGTTGCCTAATTGATGGGTTACATTTTTTATCAATCCGACCTTTATTTTTGTGCTTTCGAGCTTAATTATGTGAATCCAGCAAAAGATAATAAGTTTTGGAGGACGTGAAATGGACTTTAGCGCCAATCCTGAAGTTTGCACTGAGATGAGCAAAGTTTTTCGTACAATCGACCGACAACTGTACTTAATCCTAGTTTTCCAACATGAGACTGATCCTTATGTCCCTGACTTCATAATTGTGTTGTGGGTTTGGCTGAATCGGAGTACATCACTCTCTCCAACATTGTGGCAATGATAAAGTCGTTTTCCCTAGAAATGATAAAAGGACTTGCCAATGAAGCAGTGTTTTTACTGAGATGCATCACCGTTATAGGTCCGTAAGCCCGTAGCTACAGCTGCCTCGTCACTTCTCTTTTTTCAGCATCCCACTCGCCACCAGTGATCAGGAGACCCCCTAACTCGGTCTCTCGTAGGAAAGAACCTATCTCCAAACTTCGTGCATCAAAACCGGGCTGTGTAAGATTCCGGGATCATGAAGGATGTGGACAGAGGGTGTACTAGGGCAATTAAGGATCTCATTGAAATGATTTGACGCAGATGGTCGGGCATCTGAAATCTCCCGGTGCCTCGTTGTCATCTTCCTGATCGATGTCTAGGCAGTCGCCTTGGGCTTTAGACTTCAGTGAGGCACCAACAGGCATGCAAATAAACATTGTTTTCTACTTTCTCAAGGGGTCTATAGTGGGTGAAGGGGACATTAAATACTATTTCAAAGACATGTTTGAAGGTCGGGAGTGTGTGGAGGTTGTTTTTATGCAGCAAGTGAAGCCACCTAAAAAGATTCCTATTATTGGAGGGCTTGTTTGGAGGGATTTTCTTTCTTAGTGTCGTTGATGACAAAATGGATGATTCCCGGAGTGAATAAGACGATGAGTGCAAAAATCACATGCTGAATAGGCGGCTTCACTTGCTGCATAAAAACAACTTCCACACACTCCCGACCCTCAAACATGTCTTTGAAAAAGTATTTAATTTCCCCTTCATCCACTATAAACCCCTTGATAAAGTAGCAAACAATGTTCGTTTGCATGCCTCTCGGTGCCTCACTGAAGCTTAAAACCCAAGGTGACTTGCCTGGACACCGATCAGGAAGATGACAACGAGGCACCGAGATATTTCAGATGCCCGGTCGTCTGCGTGAAAGCCATTTCAATGAGATCCTTCTATGCCCTAACACACCCTCAGTCCACAACCTTCTTGATCCCGGAATCTTCCGCAACCCGCTTTTAATGCACAAAGTTAGGAGATAGGTTCTTTATTCCCATGAGAGATCGAGTGGGGGGTCTCCTAATCACTAGTGGCGGGTGTGATGCTGAAATAAGAGAAGTGACGAGGCAGCTGCAGCTGCGGGCTTGTGGACAGCTGCAGCTGAGGGTACAACCGTTTAGGGATGGGGATGAGAGGCGCACAGAGGGATGAGTGATAGAAATTCAGGGTTTTAATATTATTATATAGGAGGGTATAATGGTAATCTGCAGTCCTATTTAAGGAATTAAAAACGTTTGATCCTATTTGTGCACTTATGTTTACTATTAGTCCTATATAGGGCAATTACTTAATTACCATTATCCCTTTTATCCCAATCCCAACAAAGTACAATCCCTTCCTCCATCCCAAAATCCCCCATCCTAGCCTTACGTGATCCTAACTGGTTGTCCCCCATGCAAGACGAGTTTAATGCTCTTATTAAAAATAAGACGTGGGAGTTGGTTCCCCATCCACCTAACACCAATATTATTCGATGTCTTTGGCTTTTTAAATACAAACACAGGTCTGAAGGCGCTCTTGAATGGCATAAAGCCCGGCTGGTTGTGAATGGCAAATCTCAACAACTCGACATCGATTGTGACGAAACTTTCAGCCCGGTGGTCAACCCGGCCACCATTCGCACTATTCTCTCATTGTCCTTACATCATTCTTGGCCTCTACATCAACTTGACGTCAAAAACACCTTCTTACATGGTCATTTGGAGGAAATAGTTTACATGCATCAACCTCCGAGTTTCCGCGACTCCTCCAAACCACACCACGTATGCTGCCTTCTCAAGTCCCTTTATGGTCTCAAACAGGCGCCCCGAGCATGGTATCATCGATTTCATCCTTCCTCTCTACGGTCGGGTTTCACAACAGTACCTCTGATCCGTCCCTCTTTATTTATCATCACAACAAAGACACGACCTACCTTTTGTTATATGTCGACGACATAATACTGACTAATTCCTCAGATGCTCTCCGTTGCTCCATTATTAAAACCTTAGCAGCTGAATTTTCTATGACAGACCTTGGGCCCCTGAGTTACTTTCTGGGTATTGCTGTTACTCGTCACCCACAGGGCCTTTTCTTAAATCAACAAAAATATGCCGGCGAGATACTTTCTCGGGCCAACCTCACGGACTGTAATCCTGCGGCTACACCCGTTGACACCAACTCTAAGCTTAGCGCCACTGCCGCCCCCCGGTTGACGACCCAACTCTTTATCGGAGTCTTGCCGGCGCTCTCCAATATCTCACATTCACCCGCCCGGATATCTCCTACGCCGTTCAACAAATATGTCTCTTCATGCATGACCCACGTGCTCCTCACCTTCACACCCTTAAGAGAATTCTTCGTTATGTCAAAGGCACACTCCAGTTTGGTCTAGATTTACGGCCATCTTCCATTGCCAACTTAGTCTCCTACTCCGATGCCAATTGGGGGGGGGGGGGGGGGGGGGGGGGGCTGCCTTGACACCCGTCGGTCCACCTCCGACTATTGTGTATATCTCGGTGACAACCTCTTATCATGGTCCTCCAAACCACAGCCCACTCTCTCTCGGTCTAGTGTCGAGGCCGAATATCGGGGTGTAGCCAACGTAGTTGGCCAGACATGTTGGTTGCGGAATCTTCTTCTTGAGCTTCAGTGTCCTCTCTCCAAAGCTACACTAGTTTGCTGTGATAATGTTAGCTCAGTTTATATGTCTGGCAATCCCGTTCAACATCACCGCACCAAACATATAGAGATGAATATACATTTTGTTTGGGAAAAAGTTGCACATGAGGAGGTTCGGGTCCTACACGTTCCTTCTTGGCACCAATTTGCGGATATTTTCACCAAAGGGCTTCCCCGACTTTTATTTGATGAATTCCGATCCAGTCTAAGCATTCGGTCACCTCCCGCTTTGACTACGGGGGGTGTTAACGTGTGCATGTCGCATGCATGGCACATGCATGCTTACCGAAGGACTCCCACTTGACTCTCCACCAAAATAGCAATTATTTTTGTATATTTAAATTCATTTGAATTCTTGTTATACTCCACCGAATGCATAACTTAGGTACTGCATGCGGATGGACCGTAATAGACAGGGATATAATTAGTTGTTTAGCATTCTTATCTTTACACATACTATCAAGTGTATATATATATACACTACGAATGAATGAAACATTTACGTTGAATTCTAACTATGGCAATATTTTTTAATCATGCCAGTATTTTTCATACATGATACTATTTTGGAACTTCAAATCTCATTTGCTCCTATTTTGGGCAATTTTCCAAGAAAGACATATAGAAGGTGAGGCACAGGGAAGAAGAAAGAGGAATATGAAGGAAAGAAAAAGGGAAAGAAATAGAAAAAGAAAAAGGGAAAATATGAAAAAGAAAATAAAAACAAAAATACTTTTTGTACTTACACACTTTTACACATGTCAGTACAGAAAAAATGTATTTTGATAAAATACATTTTGTAAAAGAAGTTTACACAAACATGTGTAAGAGTGTGTATCCCAAAATAGTTGTACACTAAGTTCAATTGAAATAAGAAATGTCGCATCATAGTATCACACACCACATAGGCATAATCGGGCAAATCGATAGGATACCTACTAAAAAAGAGGATTTACCATTTTTAAATGAGTTGGGAGTTTAATTGGGTAAACTTTTAGTAGGGGAGCTTAATTGATTTGTTTGAGAAGCAGTGAGTTTATTTTATAGTTTTTCCTTATATATATATATATATATATATATATATATATATATAGAGGATGATTCAAATACAAAGAGGTCTTCCCATGCGAAGTGAGAATTAATCTCGTGCATTCATTTTCAGATCTAATGGCTCAAAATGAGTCAAAAGTGAACTAAATTTGATAAAAAATGCGGTGGCAATTTCGTAATTAAAACGAATTTTTTTGCCATTGCGAAAAAGTGCAACAGAAACACGCAAAAGTGCAACGCGGTGAGGAAAAAGTGCAACCGTTCGCACTTGGCACGGGAGAACCTCTTTTTATTTGATCTCTTCCATATATATATATATATATATATATATATATATATATATATATATATAGGATTGTTCAAATACAAAGACATCTTCCCATGCAAAGTGAGAATGAATCTTGTGCATTCATTTCCACATCTAATGGCTCAAAATGAGCAAAAAATGCACAAAATTCGACCAAAATCGCGGTGGCAATTTCGTAAATATGTTGCACTTTTTCGTTATCGCGAAAAAGTGAAAGAGAAACACGCAAAAGTGCAAACGAAACATGCAAAAGTGCATTTCTTCATATATATATATATATATATATATAGTCTTAAAATTTTGTGTCCTTCTGCAATCCGGTCTAAGCCTGGTCCAGTCGGTTTATCCAAGTTCGAACCCGTCATCTCCAGACGGATAAGCTGACCGTTTTGACAGCGATGGACTGCGCGTGCAAGTTCTCTGCGGCGGAATGGACGAGATAAGGATGGGGCTAGAGCCTCAGGCGCTTCAGGCCTTCAGCAGAAGAAAACCTACATGGTCCGGTCTCGAACCCAACGGCTGTGGAAGGCTGCTCCTTCCACAATACATATACATACGGGTAATTAAGTATGGAGTGAGCCGTGAATATGAAGGAATCAATCTTCCGAAGTGTTAATTCAATTTTGTGAATTCATGAACTTGAAGGTGGAATTGTAGAGCTGCTATAGAGAATGGAGGTTAGATTTGTTTTTTAACAGGCATACGTATTTGAACTTTTTGTATCAGTATTTCTATTGGATCGAATAAACACTAAACAATAAAGGGGAATGGCGGAGAGCCGGAGACCGGTGAACGTTTCCCCAAATTTGATTACACTACGAGTTAAAAAGCCACCATTTCCGAGTTCCGCTCTCTTCGTCATCGTGTTCATATTCACCTTTTAGCAGTATTATTAGACTGACATAAGTTACATCCGTTTCTTACTACGGATAATTACTATCTTCAAATTTCTACGGTCTACGGAGTGTTTTTTATAAGCTGCGGGATATGAAACGTGGCACGCCCTTGGCAGAAGCGTATCAACGTGTCAACAAGGTTCATAAGAGTTGCCAGCTGGGTGACAAAGCTTCCTATAAAAGTAGCGGCGGCGGCGGTGGTTGAGGAAGTAGGAATACGTTTGAATCTGAACAGTAGAAAATGGACGGAGTATCTGCCTGTGCTGCAATGGGGACTCAGGCGAGTTTGGCTTCTAGATTGGTTCTAACCGCTTGCTCCATTGTCTCTCTGCTCTTCATCTGCTATGCTTCTCACTTCTATGAGTACACCTCTTTCTGGTACTTTAATTTTCCCTTGGTGTGCGAACCTTGTTCTGTTTTTTTTTGGGTGTAAAGTTTATTTGAGAAGTGTGCTTATGCAGTTATGTGGCTGGAACTTATATCATTTGATCAGTCTACTGATCTGTTTGGACTTTGGTCTCATTTCAAGTATGCATAAAAATCCTGATGCCAAGGAAATTATTGATGAAGCATGATCAAGATTAGTTTGTGCTAGCTATACCTAAGTTGAGGTTTCCCTTGTTGATCTTGGATGATATATATAATTTAGGGTGTTGAGGTTCTGAACTTAGTTGTGGGGAAACAAGCGTTTATAATTTTTTTGAAATGAAAAGAGAATGAAATGTCAGCTTGCTCACAGAAAATAATAAGTTGAAGACTTGAAGGATAAGAAGCAGGCGATGGGGGATCATGGGGTGTATTTCTAGATCTTTTTTCACAGTGAAGGCACAACTACCAACCCAATTAAATAATGTTGTTCAGATTCTATATTTCGAGGAGAAAAATTGTTTTGTTAATAAGTTAATGTACTATTATGTGCTGTTACGTTGGTGAGATGTGAGAAGATCATTTACAATATCTTCTAGTTGTAATCAAGACATTCAATGGGGAATTGGGGAATCTCAAATGTGGAGACCCTGGATTAATGATTATGTATGATTTATCATTACCTATTTACTTCCTGTTCTATTATTGTTCTTTATATTTATTTTTGCTCTAGATTTCCTTATATGTATTGCTTGCAGGCTTTTGGCCATTGCAATGGGGTTGCAGATACCATGGAGCTTGGCATTGGCAGTTGCAGATTGCTACTTTATCTTCTTCCCCAGAAATCAAACTCAGCTACCTTGGTTCACTCTTGCTGTTATTTCAATGGATTGGGTATATCCCATATTTATTTATGTGTTGCTATTCTATGTATTACTTTCTTCAGGTAAGGTTATGTTTCGAGTTATTTCCTATATTCTTCCATAATGACAACAGATATTTGCATTCCTTTCTCTCGCTGCATCCTCGGCAACTGCCAGCACAACGTATTTCCTGTTTCCCGCCTGTGAGATCACAGCATGCCACCATTATCAGATGGCGTCTGCAGCTGGCTTCTTATGCTATGTGCTCCTCTTTGGCTGCTCTCTTTCCAATCTATGGATCCTTCCATGGCTATTATGATGAGGTATACACTTATACTTCCTTTTACTGCCTGAAAGACATTAGACTTAAATTCATTACCTGTTTATAAGCAAAAATAAAACTGTGCATTGTAGTGTTAATCATTTAAAATATTGCTGTTATTATATATCTGTACCCGTTGTTAGATAATATTGTCTGGGACTCTGGGAGTAATTTTCTCTTTTTGTCCACCTTGGCTTAAATTGGTAACTTTATGCAGAGATATAAGTTCATTCAGATTTGGACATATTACATAGAAAAATTTGCAGAAATTTCATAATATTCGAATACACATATTAGTTACCTGCATGTCTCTTGCACGTTGAGTGGCAGATGACAGAGTGACAGACTGTACCCTCATTCAACCACCTTCGCTCTTGGCAGTGTGACTGTGATTCTAATGTTGATTCAGTAATGTCGTTTCTGCCATAGACACTGAAGTGGAGCTTCTTCTGAAAAACATATACTTGCCTACCGAGGAACCCCTGATTCAGGGGAATGAGCAATGGCTGCACGGCTTTGAAGGCTTGTTTTGCGTTGGAGAGGCCGCTGTAGGATTTTCCTGTGAAGGATGTGGCAAGTCAGAACGTAAAAGAAGCAGGGTTGGTGATGAGGAAGGATATGGGCACAATACTGCTGACTGAACTCAAAACAATTGGTTCAGAAAATGGTTGGAATGCAGGCTGAGACAGACCTGGCTGCCCAGAATTGTAGTGTTACAAGTTTTTGGCTGTCATGACACATATGTAGTAAACGAAATTAATGATAAAAATTGATAATAGTCGTAATTTTAAAGAATAACAATAAAGGTTGTTGAGGAGTGAGGGTAATCTCCCAGAGAGGTTCAAAAACCCAACATTAAGTTCTTTAAGTGTTATAAATGTATGAATTTATGGATAGAAATGCAAGGAAGATGTAAACAATGTGTGTACTTGATGGAGTATATAGGTCCAGACCATGTGACCCACTGACCCACATACTCAGAAGAATAAGAGGCACAACTGTTACCCAGTGGGTCCTCCGTCGGCCAGATGGCCCTCCATCGGCCGGAAAGACATCAACTCAGAATATGATCCAGAAGTCAGGAGAGCCGGGGCGTCCCCATCGGTCGGGTCTTCGTCGGCCAGATCTCCGTCGGTCACAGAGAGCTCCCAGTGCCGGATTTCATACTTAACCAATTTACATACTTTGTATTCAGCCCAATAGAGACCTCATTGTAATCAGGCCTCCCAAGTCCAAGACTTGGGAGCCCAACCCATATTTTCTCTATAAATACCCCCCTTGGGGATAGTTGTAGGGGGTGGAGAAATACATTCATTGCATACTTATTGCATACTTATTGCACTTCTCTCCCTAGCTCTCACTTCTCTCTAAGAGGTTATACTCTATCATTTGGTGTTTTCATTGAGAGCTAGAACAATCAAGTAAGCATCCCTCGTCGCTACCAATCACAGCTAACTGACTATGGCCTATGGAAAGAGCAAGGTCAAACCGCAACCTCATCGACAAGATGATCCCCGAAACTCAAGAGGGTCGTGAGCGCTCTGGCGATGCTACGACCGACAAGGCCGCAGACGAGGAAGTCTTCCAGGAGACCATCGACCCCACGGTTGATCTTCGCAACCAGCTCAACGGCAACGCTCCAGACGCCCGCATCGGCCTTGAGAAGAAACACACGGAGAAAGGCGATAACGCCTCAGGGCAACCAGCTTCTCCCGCCGTTGACCCTCAGCTTCAAGCCGCACTCTCAGCCATTATCGCCAGCCTAGCCCAGAACCTCATCGTCCTTAGTGCACTCATACCAAGGACTGAGGAAAACATTACTCCACCACCTCCACCGCCCCAGCCGTTAGTAATGAAGATAGGCAACGTCGAAAGGGTTGAAGCCCAGGATACGTCGTCATCCCACTCCCACATTGTTTCCCCGCTTCGAGCTGGACCGACCCCAGTGCGTAGAAAAGCCTCGGCCTTTAATAGGCTAGGTGACACACGTCGTCGGCCAGCATCGGAGAGGATGGTGGGATGGATTGATGAACGTGAGCCTGGCTCACCAAAGGAAAGCTTGGGGTCCGTATCCCGGACAGCGGATCGAGCCCGCCTGGACAAATGCAAGGGAAAGTTGCCCAAGGGTGTGATGCGCGTCACCAAATCAACACGGCTCACGCAGCCCGCGTGCAAACACAAGGCGCCCTCCGGGACGAGGTCAACGCCCAGCTCAAGTGGAGGCTCGCTCAGATGGAGGCCAAACAACTGGCCGCTACTCCCACAGCCAACTCGTCTAGGGATCCCGGCTTTAACGCCCTTTTGCACAAGGTTAGCGCCTTGGAGAGGGAGCTCGCCGAAGGGAGAGGGGACCCGCCATCCAGATCAGGATGCGGACCCCCTTCTCAGCCAGGGTACTCGAGGCCGCACCGACCCTCAGGAGCATTTCAACCGCTATCAGAACCACATGCCGATGGTGAATGCGTCGGACGAATACCTCTGCCGCTGGTTCCTCTCCACTCTCGAGGGACCAACATACGAATGGTTCAACGCGCTCCCCGAAGGAAGCGTGGACTCATGGGAGGATCTTGCCCAACGCTTCCTCACCCACTTTGCTGGGAGAAAGCGTGTAAAGAAATACTTTACCCATCTCCTCTCTATCAAGCAGCAACACGACGAATCACTCCGGTCCTTCATCGACCGATGGACGAAGGAGACCGATGAGGTCGAAGGGGCCGATGAGCGCACCCTCCTCGTCCTTTTTCAAGGCGCTCTCTGGAGCAGCCCATACGTGAGGAGCTTCATCACTGACTAGCCGAGGTCATACACGAAGGCACTCCAGCGAGGGAACCTATACGCTGACGAGCTCCACTCCCACAAGAAGGATGGAGGACAACCTTCGAAAAAGACAAACTCTGCGCAAGCTCCAAGTGCACCCTTGGCCGGGGACCGAGGGCAAGGAGAACAAAACCGCCAAGGGTCTGGCGGACAGAACAAGAAGGATCGCCCATGGCGCCCGAGGATGGAAAGGCTGAGAACCCGTCTCACACACTCGGTCAGCTCCATCCTCGATTACGCCGAGGAGCACGATCTCATTGCGAGAGATCGTTGGTCGGCGAAGGAAATCTGTGTCGTTCATCAGGGCGGCACGCCGGCACCTACTGCCGTTACCACAAGAACACCTCCCACAAGCACCTATTGCGTCACGCTGAAGAGAGCCATCGAGCGCCTGATTCGGTAGGGGAAACTCTCCCAATTTGTTAAAGGTCCCACACAAAAATACTTGGGTAAACACCGACAAAAATGGGGGAGAACCCTCGACGAAGAAGCGTGAGATCGGTAGACTCAGCGAAGACGACGAGGACTTTGAGGAGCCCCATCCGAAGAAGAACCACATCCACCTCATCGTGGGAGGCAACATTGGGGGGACTCCACCACCCAGAGAAAGAAATGGGCCCAATCCCTATACATTGGCGAGGTGCCCCACGTTCCCCCAGCCGAAGAAGCAACGAACGGAGGCGATCACCTTCACCGACAAGGATCTGCCTCCAGGCCCCGCATCACACAGGGACACCCTCGTCATCCGATGTGAGATAGCTAACTTCATCATCCATCGCACTTACATCGATACGGGGAGCTCCGTCAACGTCATGTACTTTAACACCTTCAAGCAACTGAAGCTGGACAGGGCCCTGCTTAAGCCGATACGGACATCGTTGTCCGGCTTCACCGTGGACTCTATTGACGCCGAAGGCACGATAGTCCTTCTCGTGGAAGTCGGCGACGGCTCCCATCACACCAAGATTTACATGGAGTTTATGGTGGTCAATCTCGAATGGCCCACAACCTGATCTGGGGGCGGGCAACATTGGAGGACCTGGAGGCCATCATCTCCATGAAACACTTATGCCTGAAGTTCCCCACCAGCGGCGGCATCGGCTACGCCAGGGGGAACCAAAGGATAGCAAGGGCATGCTACCTCAAGCTGACGAAGCAGGCCGAAAACGCCGAGCAAAGGGTGGACACCATCACTACGACCGTCGCCAAGGATGGAGAGAGGCCACACGCCGAGCCAATCGAGGATGTCGAGGAAGTCCCCTTAGATGCCTCTCGGCTAGAGCGAATCCTGAAAATTGGGAGACAACTCCCATAGGACCAACTCGTATACCGTCATCTATGCATGGGGGCCGGAAGACATGCCAGCATCAGCTCGAAGGTGATCACCCACTGGCTGTCAGTCGATCCAGCTTCCACACCCGTCAAGCAGAAGCGGCGCTACCTCTCAGCCGAAAGACGGGACTTCGTCAAGGGGGAGGTCACCATGCTCCTCTCAATCAACCACATCAAGGAGGTGAAATATCCCACATGGCTAGCCAACATCGTCCTTGACCAAAAGCCGCCAACGTTCAGAATGTGCGTCAACTACACTGACTTGAACAAGGCGTGCCCCATGGACCCGTTCCCTCTCCCCAATATTGATCAATTGGTGGACGAAACGGCGGGATGCGAGTTGATGTCGTTCCTTGATGCCTTCAGATGATACCACCAGATCTTCATGCATGAAGATGATGCCGAGAAGACAACTTTCATGACCCCGGAGGGAATTTTTTGGTACCTCATCATGGCTTTTGGGCTCAAAAATTTAGGCGCCACATACACCAGGATGGTGGCCAAAATTTTCAGAACAGTCCTCGGCCGGACGATTATGGAGGCATACGTCGACGACATGATCGTCAAGAGCAAACAATCTACCACCCATGCTGACGACCTCCGAGAAATCTTTGATATCATGAAAAAGTTCAAGCTCCGCCTAAACCCCAAGAAATGCACCTTCGACGTCCAAGGGGGCAAATTCCTTGGCTACATGGTCAGCCGAAGGGGCATTGAAATTAATCCGGAGGAAATCCAGGCCATTGTGAACATGGAGCCGCCATGCAATGTCAAAGAGGTATAACGGTTGACGGGACGACTTGCGGCCCTAAACCGTTTCCTCTCCAAATCAGCTGAGAGATCTCTCCTCTTCTTCCAAATCATGCGCAAAGCCAACAACTTCAAATGGACGACGGAGTGCCATCAGGCATTTGAGAAGCTGAAGCAGTACCTTTCATCCCCTCCTGTGCTCTCCAAGCCCAAGCCCGGCGAGACACTCTTCTTGTACCTAGGGGTGAGTACATCAGCCATAAGCTCTGTGCTCATCCATGAGGAGGAAGGGGTACAAAGGACCATCTTCTACGTCAACAAGACGCTACGGGAGGCGGAACTCAGGTACTCCCCTATCGAGAAGACAGTGTTAGCCATTGTTCATACGTTGAAGAAATTAGGGCATTATTTCCATGCGCACTCCATCCACGTCCTCACTCACTCAGCAGCCCCTCGACGCCCTTATGCGGAGCCTAACTAGCTCCTCAAGGATGGTGAATGGGCAATCTTCCTCAGCCAGTTTCAAATTGAAATCAAACCACAACCATCCATCAAGGATCAAGCCTTGGCTGACTTTGTCACCGAGTGCACGGCGTGGGAGACAGCCGCCACCATACCCGGGTCAGAGCCAGACGAAGCATGGACCCTATTCACTGATAGCTCATCAGCCGCCAGAGCATGTGGAGGCGACATCGTCCTCATTTCCCCTGAAAGATTCAGAGCATAATATGCCATCCGCTTCAACTTCGGGGTATCCAACAACGAAGCCGAGTATGAAGCCCTCCTCAGCGGCCTCAGACTCGTAGCCGGCCTCAAAGCGCGACACATCATAATCAAATGCGACTCCAAGCTGGTGGTGGGCCAGATCGAGGGCTCGTACGAGGCCAAGGAAGGTAGGATGAGGCAATACAAGCAAGCAGCTGAAGAGTTACTCAAGGAATTTGAAACCCAC